CAGAATGAAGGCTGAGAATCAGAGTGGTCAGAAGTTGAAGATTCTTAGAACTGATGGTGGAGGTGAGTATAACTCCAAAGAGTTCCAGAAGTTCTGTGAGGAGAATGGAATTGAGCATGAGGTTACTGCTCCTTATACCCCTCAACACAATGGTCTTGCTGAAAGAAGAAACCGTACTTTGCTTGATATGGTGAGAAGCATGCTAAAGGAGAAGAAGCTTCCTCAGAAGCTCTGGGGAGAAGCTGTTGCCACTGCAACGTATGTACTCAACAGATGTCCTACGAAGAAGTTGAAGGAAATAGTTCCTATGCAGAAGTGGACTGGAGACAAGCAAAGTGTTAGTCATCTGAAGGTGTTTGGTTCTGTTTGCTATAAACATGTTCCAGAAGCCAGAAGACAGAAGCTGGATGATAGAAGCAAAGTGATGATTCTGATAGGGTACCACAGTACTGGTGCTTACAAGCTCTATTGTCCAGAAACCAATAAAATTGAATTCAGCAGAGATGTGATTGTGAAGGAATCAGAAGTTTGGAATTGGGATAAGTCTCAATCTGATTCTGATGTTAGAACCTCTGAAGAAAGGCCAGAGTTAAGAATTTCTGAAGTTGAAGTAAACCCTGATATTGACTCTGACTCTGATACTGATTCAAACTCTGAAGAAGACTCAGAAGATGAAGGTGACCCAGATGACCCAGACTCTGATGATTCAGACTCTGATGGCAATCCAGATCTTGGTATCAATTCAGACTCTGGAAATATGCCAGACTCTGAAGATGGTCAAAGCATTGGAGGTCAATCATCTGAAGCTAGAAACTGTGAAGCTCATGACTCTGAACAAGTTCAGAGACCACAAAGAATCAGAAGCGTTCCCAGAAGATTTGCAGAATTTGACATGCTGCAAGACACTGAAGTAGACTCTGAAGGAGAAGTTATTCAGTGTGCCATGTTAGTAGACTCTGAACCTATAAGTACAGAGGAGGCTCTTAAGCAGAAGCTCTAGCTGAAGGCAATGAAAGAAGAACTTGATGCTATAGAGAGAAACAAGACTTGGAAGCTGACAGAACTTCCAAAAGACAAGAAAGCCATCAGCGTCAGATGGGTTTTCAAGCAGAAGTTAAAGCCAGATGGCTCAATTGGCAAACATAAAGCAAGGTTGGTAGCCAGAGGATTTCTACAAAAACCTGGGCTGGATTACTCTGAAGTGTTTGCACCTGTAGCAAGACATGAAACAATCAGAATGGTGATTGCAATAGCTGCTAACAGGAATTGGCCTCTGATGCATTTAGATGTAAAATCTGCATTTCTGAACGGTCCATTAGAAGAAGAAGTTTACGTGTCACAACCTCCTGGATTTGTGAAAAAGAATCAGGAAGGGATGGTGTACAGATTATACAAAGCTCTATATGGATTGAAACAAGCGCCCAGAGCTTGGAATCAGAAGATTGATTCATTTTTCAAGAAGCAAGGCTTTCAGAAATGTGAGATGGAGTACGGTGTCTATGTTCAGCATACTTCTGAAGGCAATATGACTCTGGTATGTTTATATGTTGATGATATACTGCTGACTGGAAGTTCTGAACAGGAGATAACCAAGTTCAAGAAGGTTCTAATGAATGAATTTGAAATGACTGATCTAGGCAAAATGACATACTTTCTAGGGATGGAGTTCAGATATTCTGAGAAAGGTATCATTTTGCATCAGCTCAAGTATGAATTAGAACTTCTGAAGAGATTTGATCTGAAGAATTGTAAGATGGCTGTCACACCTTCTGATACAAATCAGAAACTGGATTCAGACTCTGAAGGAAAGGATGTGGACGCTACAACCTTCAAACAGTTGGTTGGTTCTCTGAGGTATCCGTGCAATACCAGACCTGATATCTGCTACTCAGTTGGGATGGTTAGTAGGTTCATGAGTAAACCTAAGTGGTCCCATTACCAAGCTGCTGTCAGGATTCTAAGGTATATCAAAGGAACTCTGAAGTATGGAGTGTTATTTCCCTCTGGAGGAAATAATGAGTCAGAACTTCTGAGTTATTCAGACTCTGATTGGTGTGGAGACAGAGTTGACAGAAGAAGTACATCTGGGTACTTGTTCAGATTTATGGGAGGTTCCATTTCTTGGTGTTCCAAGAAGCAACCTGTTGTGGCGTTGTCAACCTGTGAAGCTGAATACATTGCAGGTGCTATTACTGCATGCCAAGCTGTGTGGATTCTGAATCTGTTGCAGGATCTGAAGATTAAAGTAGACAAACCTCTGAAGTTGATGATTGACAACAAGTCTGCAATCAATCTTGCCAGAAACCCAGTGTTGCATGGGAGAAGCAAGCATATTGAGACCAAGTATCATTTTCTGAGACATCAAGTTCAGAGTGGAGTGTTAGAAGTTGTACACTGCAGCACTCAGAAGCAGTTGGCAGATGTTCTGACGAAAGCTATCAAGACTGATCAATTTCTCAGATTAAGGGATGGAATTGGTGTTACAAGTTTTGATGGAATATGAATTAAGGGATGGTATTAGTAATAATTCATATTTTATTATATTATTTTCTTAAGCCCATAAGTTTGTTAGAGGGTATTTTAGTATTTATCTTATTCTAGTAACCCTAGTTTTAGCTTATAAATAGGGTGACAATCATTGTAACTCTTAATCCTGTTTCTTCTGCCGTCATTCTCTTTAATAGAATATTTCCCTATTTCATCATTTATTCTATCTTTGCACCAACAACATCACTATCATCACCAAACAGCAACCACACCATAATCGAGTTGCATATCTTTCTTGTCTCCGATTTATAACGACTCATACGAGCTCAACGCCACACTATTTGCAGCTTTTCTTCATTCTCTTTCAATCCCTTTATTGTTATTAATTTTGTTGGTGAGAATTTTCAAAGATTGGATTTTAAAAGTCTTATTGACTATGTTTGATTTTTTATGATTTGGGTGTGTATTGATAAGTTTGTATACGTTCAACTCTTTTTTCTTTTGTATCACTCTTTCGTATTGTTGCTTTTAAATCAGATTTGAGTGTTTTATTGGCTTGTGTTGTGTTTATTCGTATTTCGCCAGTGCTTCATTTTCGTGCCATTTACTAGCATTCTATTTTGGATGGTGACTTGGTAGGTGCACGATTCGGTACCCGCCATGTTAGCATTGTTTTTGAATCGGTGTTGTTAATATGTTTATGTACGTGTTGCTAATTTCATTTTCATTATGTTGAAATCGTTTCCGTATGTGTTATGCGTGTTTACTTACTTCGCGCGTTAACGCATTATGCATGTTACCAATTTGTGTCTCACGTTAGAATTTGTGTCTCGCATTAGAATTTGTGATCTCAGGTTAGAATTCACGACCTCGTGTTAGAATTCACGCCCTCATGTTAGCATTCGCGCCTCACATTATAATTTGTGACCCCACATTACGATTCTCTATCCCACATTACTTTTTGTTATGATTTAATCGAGTTCACATTCTTTTTACAATAAAATTGGGTGAAAAAGATTAATTGGTCGTAGGCCTATGTCTTCCCCAAGTATTCAATTATTGGTTGCAGGGCTTGCTTTTTAACTACTTGTCAGCTTTTCAGAATTAAATCAATTACTGTTTAATCTAAACCAAAAATCTATTCTCAATTAAAATCGGATGAAAATGATTAATTGAGTGTACGCCTCTTTTTTTCTTTTGAGTATTTGGATACAAGTTGTAGAGTCTGCCTTTTGAGTACTCATCACCCTTTTAAAATCTTATTTCACAATAAAATCGGATGAAGAAGGATTAATTGGGTGTAAGCCTATTTTTCCCCAGAGTATTTGGATACAAGCTGTAGAGCTTGCCTTTCGAGTATTTGTCATCCTTTCAAAATCTTATTTCAAAATAAATCAGATGAAAAATAATTAATTGAGAGTATGCCTCTTTCTTCCCCGAGTATTTAGATACTGATTATAGAGCTTGTTTTTTGAATACTCATATTCCATATTAAAATACGATCATTAACTGAATTTACTCCATCCTTTCGTGGATGAAAAAAGATTAATTGTGCATATGCCTCTTTCTTCCCCAAGTATTTGGATATTAGTTGTAGATCTTGTTTTTTTGAATAATTCGTCTTCCGTTAAAGAACCTTTACTCGATTCACCTCACATATTTTACAATAAAATCGAATGAAAATTGATTAATTATGCGTATACCTCTTTCTTCCCCGAGTATTTGAATATTGGTTGTAGAACTCACTTTTTAAATACTCGTCATCCACCCAAAACAAATTCAACCAATCAAACTCATTTTTTTTTCCTAACATCTACCTTGAGAGGGTGAATGAACAACGTATATGAAATCAACAAGGGCAATATGATATTTTCTAGAACATATTTTCTTCTTATAAATGGATATTATTATTAACTTATTACTAATATTATTTATTTAAAAATTAATGCATTATTATTTTTTACAAAAGAAGATAATATTTATTATTATTAACTTTACCTAGATTACTCTATATAAGCAACAATATTAAATTTGAGCTAATCTTAATTTTGTTTTGACTGGAATAACAAATAAACATAATGGTAATAAATATTATAAAACGAAAATAGACAATTATTAAAAGGCATTGTTTTTCTTATAAATAATAAAAAATCACGTGACAAGCCAGCGAAAGAACTTGGTTCGTTATATAAACGAGTTTTTATCTCTCTAGCTACGCACGCACGCTTGTTGGCTCTGTTTCACTAACTCAACCGAACTCATCCCAAATATCTCAATCTCAATACCTAAATACAATTTACCCCAATTCTTCGTCTCTCCCAAACTCTAATTTTCAATAACACACGCTAAAACACTTACCCGCCAAAAAAGAACTCGATACATATATTTATAATAATTAAATTACCGCTTCCAATTTTTCTTTTTTCTTTTTATTTTTTCAAATCTCTTTCTCTCTTCTTCCTCTTCCCTCCTTTTCTCTCTGTCTCTTCCCCCTTCTCTAGGGTTTCTCTCCGATGGAAGAGGTTTCGGAACCTACGGTAGATCCTCCACCGAAGGCCGAGAACGGAGGAGGAGAACCATCGGAGGAACCGTGTAGCAAGAAGGCGAAGGTTGACGAAATTGATAAACCGGAGGCGGAATTGAAACGAGTGGCGGAGATTGTTTTGGTTTTATCAACGATGGCGACGATGCGAGGTGGAAATAAGCCGACTGACGTGGAGGTTGAGCTCATGAGAGAGGCCCGGAGTAAGCTCGCAATTCTCTGCCAGGGGATTGCTCCCAAGGATATTGTTGCTCGTGAAGCTGTTGGTGCCGTTATTGAGGATCTCGGTTTGAACGCTAAGGTTGGGGACCAGAGGTTAGGGTTTCGTACTCCTAAGATGTCCATTTCCGAGAAGTATGCGTTCAATAAATCGAAGGTATTCAACTTCTCAGTTCTTAACTCAATTGATTCCAACTTTTGCAACTCTATAATTTTTTGAATTATTGATTTGTATTATCAGAAGGAACTTCGTATCTTTGATTATATTGCATGTCTTTAGGGGCATTATTTAATACTACTTTAGTTACTTGCATAAGGTGTCGTGATTTCGGTCGGTAGAGGTGTTATGACGCTAACTGCGGCCGTCGCAGTGTGAATTAATTACAATTTGTTCATGTTAACATAAAAACGGTGAATAACGGTATCTGTACCTGCCAATACTGTATTGTCGCAGCTGTTTTTCGCGGTCACGGACTGTTTTTAAAACCTTTGCATCTAGTAGTAGGTTATTTTTCTTTCTGTTAATTTCCTGTTACCACTCATTTAATCTAATATGACCTTAATGGGAAGGTCGCATGTGGAGTTTGTTGGAAAGATGAACTCTGGTAATGTGAAATGCTTTTTAATTTTGTTTCCTACTTAAGTAATAGCTTTTGTTTCTTTTTTATAGCATGCATGTAATGTTAATGAGGAAGCTATTGCTAGTGTTTTGACGAGTTAATTTCACATTAGTTTTCTATTTCTTCTGCTATCTTTTTTATTTCTAGATGGAGGAATCAAAGAAATTACTATCTGCATCTTCTACAACATATACACCTCAACCCTTGCAAACAAACACCGGTGGAATGGTTGACAATCGTGTTCCAACAAATGCTGTTCGAATGTTATCGTCTGATAAATCAACCCACATGGCAGTAACATCTTCTGTTTCGATGGTGTCTATTCCTCCCCATCTTTCTGCAGGAGCTTCTGCAGCATTGCAATATCAGTCAACCAGCAATGAAGTCAGACCGCCCATTGTTTCTGGTGTAATGCCTAGCAGTCACATGGGAAGAAATCCATCTCCTGTAGCATTGCCTAGAGTTGAAAACCCACAGTTTAAAGTTACTGGAGGATTGAGTGGGGCTCCTTATGTGCTTCAGGTCCAAGGTAATTTCCATAGCTTTTCACCAATCCAAAATTCCAAGGGGTGGCAGACTTGCATTTTCTATTGATGAATTGACTTATAGTGCAACATCATTATGTTATCGCTGCATGATGATTTGAACATGTGGTGCAGACTCGTACTTTGTTACGATGTGGTTCTATTTTATAAAACTAAATGCTTACATATTTTGGTTATTATTTACTTCCAGGAGTTTCTCCTATATATTGAACATTGAATGCAATGATGCATAAAGAAACCTGAAAGTTCATTAGATTTGTGTGGATGTAGGTCCTTTTGAAGTTAGTGAGTTGATATAGTCCTTTTGTAACATGCATAAATTGTTAGTGTTTCCCTATTCATCAAGAGTCTGAAATTGAATGACTGACCCTCTTCTTTCAGTTGTCTGTTATCCAATTTTTATTATTTGTAGGTGAAAGTTATGGAAATTGAAAGAAGTATGGGTTTTAACTTTCTACTGGGATTTTCCTACTTTTGTTTGTAGTTTACAGTACTAGTAGTCCGCTGTATGTTCTTAATAATATGCATAAAATTGTATCTTATGACATTTCAGTCATTGAAGTAGCAACTGAATTTGAGAACTTTTCTAAACTGCAGCAAATTCATTGGCAAACCAATCATTGGTGAATGCTCCTACATGGTCAATACAGACTCCACCTGTGTCATTAGCTAGAAGTGTATCAGAAAACAAGGCGCCTACTCATAATCCTCCCAAGGTGGAAGGAACTGCTGATGCAACTGTATCGAGAGCAGGTCCACAAGTAGCAAATGGTCAGAGCATTAGACCATTTATTACTCAAACGGGACCTGGAAATATGTCTAATATGCACCAGCCATTGCAGGGTGGGAACATGGTTCAACCTCCTTCGATTCCTAGTCACTCTGATATTGCAAAGATTGTCCAGAAATTATTACTACCAAAGCTTCCTGAACATCGCACATGGACTCCTCCGTCAAGGGATTATATGAATAAGGCTTTCACATGTCAGACATGTGAGCTCACTGTCAGTGAGGTTGATTCTGTTCTTCTCTGTGATGCTTGTGAGAAGGGATTTCACTTAAAGTGCCTGCAGCCATCAGTAATTAGAGGAATTCATAATAGAGTTGATTGGCACTGCACGAGATGCTTGAGTTTAAGCGGCGGAAAGTCTTTGCCTCCAAAATATGGCCGTGTGACAAGATCTTCAATTACATCACCAAGTTTTCCCTCTAATACAGTTATTATTCAACCATCTTCAGAGAAGAAACCAGATAACTTAGATCTAAAGGTCAGCCCGCAAATTTTTACATCAAATGGAAACTCTGTTCCAACTGTTTCCAGTGCCAATCACAGCACTGAGCCGTCATTTGACTCAAATATCCCAGATACAAGAGATATACAAGGTTTCAACATTTCATCTAGCATTGAAACCATTGAAGAGAAACCTGATCCAAGCATATATATGAAATCTGCAGCTTGTAGTGTTTCCACTGGCTTGCAGGGTGAAAGTTGTAATGAACAAATAGATTCAAAGGCTTTGACCTGTAAAAATATTTCTGAATCAGAAACTCTTCCTAAATCATCTGAACCGGCTAAGTGTGAAAATTTGCAATCATCACAGGATTCTCAAATTGAGACGGCAGTGTCACAGGACAATGCTGAAATATCACCAGATAGACATGATAGCAGTAGTTTTATGACTAGTAATCAAAAGGAATCTCATGGAGGAGAAAATATAACTAACGATATCAAGCACGATGATTTAGATGTTGCACAAACAACTTCTGTCGGAAGTTCTGGAACTAATACTGAAGGTATTCTGCACTCTGCTTTATCTTCAGATAGCTCACATGCTGTAGAATGGATTGGTGATGTTGTACAACTTGTAGATGAGAAAAAGTATTACCAATCTTGCTGCATTGATGGAGTAACATATAGGCTGCACGGTCATGCTTTTTTCACATCTAACCATGGCAAACTGACACCTTCTAAACTTCAGGCAAGCAAATTATCATGCATTCTGCCGTAATCTAGCACTTGGTTGTATCACACTTGTACAAATTCACCTATGAAATTGCAAAGGGCATATGAATAGTAAAAAGTTGTGTTTCCTGTTTAGGTGCACTTTACAGTTTCTATTGTGATTTAAACAATTAATAATTTTTTTTTGGCCTGTGCAAAATTGCGTCATTATATAAATTTATAGAATTTTAACAGTTATTTGTATTTAATTTTCAGTCTATGTGGGAAGATTCCAAAACTGGGATGAAGTGGGTAAAGGCAACAAAGTGCTACTTTCCTGATGATTTGCCGGGAAATATTGGTCATCCTTGTATATCTGAAGTCAATGAGGTAACAATTATATTATTATTTTATTTTGTTTGTACATATTTATATAAAATTAAGATGCCTCTTAAATGGATACCAATTCATTCTCGCAAGTGTGAAAATTTGTCATTGGTATCTAAGCAATTAAATGGATACCAAAATCAATGTAACATTAGGGAAAATGAAAATGATAGAAGATCTTAATATGATAAATTTGATTGGTGTTCCAATGAAAATGAAATGATAATGCTGCACATCTTATCGTTTTAGAACCCGGTGCTGCTTGATACTTTCTTATAAATGTCTTCCTTTTTCTTTGTTGAAGGTTTATGAATCTAATAGTGATAGAATTGAAATGGCTAGCTCTATCCGAGGCCCTTGTGTAGTCCTTCCATATGATAAATTTAAACAAGAAAATGACAGAAGATCTCAATTTGGAATTGAGGCAAGTGTTAGTGTACAGCCCATTTTCCTTTGCAGGTTTGTTTCTTTATCCATTAATTTCTGAAAAGTTTTTATTTTCATTTTGTTTTGTTTTATTGTATGCCTGTTGCACACACTTCAAACTTTTTTTCATACATTGAATGTAGACATCAAGTAGAAAGATTATTACATTTGTTGCACGCATATTATAATATTATAGCAATTACATATTATGGAGGGGAAATGGTAAAATACAAGTAGAGAAAATTTTGGGACTATGAGACATGGAATGGTTGTGTTAAGTTAACCTCGTTTGGAGGCTCTTTTCTATGTATAATTTAGTGCTTCTGTATTAAAGTGATTCATAATACTGTATTTGGTTAAAATATGAAGCTGCCTGTTTAGTGTGGTTATTTTCATAATGATTTAGTTTTTTTTCTGTAAAATTTTGAAGTTAATTCTTGGGTTAAGGATATTGTTCTCTGATACATGAAGTGCTTCAGATGAAAATTAAAGGCGTATTACTTTCGTGAATAAATTTGTAAATTGTATCTATGGGATTTAATGTCTTTTGCTGCAACATTGTGAAACCCATAGTTGTCAAACTAACCATGAAGTAGTTATGTCTTATCTGAATTGTAAAAATTAAAAAATAACGTAATTAAATAATACTACAATTAATATATTATTTTAGTAAACACTATTTTGCTTTTGTAAAAAATAATTACCTAAACACATTTAGTATACAAATATTTAGCTAAATATTTAAAATAATTCAAATAGCGGCTGCTCTGCTCTCTGCCATCCCAGTTTTGGTGTTAGTAAGGGACAGAACCAGAAAATAGATTTAAGGGGAGTGAAGTTAAGACATGGTAGTTAAGCAAAACCAACTTATAGATTGTTTCTTCAAACATAGACACAACTGTAATTATACATATTTTAGCTATTTAGTATTTATAGGAAAATCTCAAGCCTCATATTAAAAGTAGTTTATAAAGAAGGGGTATTCCTCATCTTAGAAGTAGGTTTTTAAGGATAAGTTAGACTCAATTCAAAACTCGATATGGGATCGGATTTTTTGGTATAAAAAAGCTCAAGTTCTACATTAAAAAGAGACAAGACACAGAAATTGTTTATAAAGATGAGACACCCTTGATCTTACTAGTCAGTTTTTAGTAGGATGAGTTTGGTCCAATCCAAAACATAAGATTATGTAAATATATAATATAAAATCATTTATTAGTCATATACTAATTTTTTTATCAGTTATTACTGTATTAGATCCATTGATCGATTCAATTTGGTGGAGCATAGTCTATATACTATTAGTGCTTATACTCTTTCAGATATTCAATAATATTTCAGTATTTTACCACAGCTATGTTGTTTGATTTTATTTTGAAAGGGTTCTTAAGATGATTTGACTTGTTTTATAGGTGGTTTTATGATGAAATCAAAAAGTCATTTCAACCCGTTATCAGTTGATCAGTCTCCAACATACATGTTTCTGTGATTCCTATACATTGCAGTTTTGTGGTGAGTATTTGACCCCTGACATCTATGCAAAATTTTAATCGAGATTTTCTTTAGCTAAATGTATCTGCTGGATGCACAAATCTAACCCAGTAAGTCATAGAAGTAAGAGACTATTGTTTTTGTTTCTTCAATTTTTTTTGTTTGTTTTGCATCTCTTTTCTCTTCTAGTCAGAAAAGATGGTAAAAAATGAAGCCAAAAACTAGCAATGATTATCTTAGTTTGTGAGACTAAAGTAAATATTTAACCTTTAATGGTAACATCAGATATGGTAGTGAAGCATGCACAACGTGAGTTATTGATAAGCCTTGTACTTGGAAGTTTTAGCATTTCTTGTACCTCTTGTGGATGCAGGTTTTTGGATGGTGTCAAACGGTTTCTCTTTCTTGTATGGATAATTTAACATACTATTCATGTGAGACCCGATTCAAGGCGTATTGCAGAAACATTGATTTATGCAAAAATGTAGCTGGGGAGCCTGAATTGCATTTTATGTTATACATGTAGCTGGGGAGCCTGAATTGCATTTTATGTTATACATGTAGCTGGGGAGCCTGAATTGCATTTTATGTTATACATGTAGCTGTAGCCGTAGAAGCTGTGACTGTTTAGTTTAGTTTAGTTATAAGGTAGCTAGCTATATATTAGTGCTGTTCTTTATAGATATTCATTTTGTATAATTCTTTTTTGGTGTATGTAGGCTCGTTATGCCCGCTGATCACAGTTTTATCTTTGAAATTGAATCATCATTGTAGTCCTCTTAGTTTGCTGGAATTGTATAATATTTTGTTGTACAAAAGTCACTTCCGGAAAAACATATCCGTGGGAAATTTATTGATTAGCGAACTCCTATTCAAAGACCAGTTATGATATTTTTAGCTAGGGTATGAAGTTTTAATGATTTCTGCTTGTTGAGCCTGAGCATAATATTGGCTCATGAGTTATTTGAATAACCCTCAAATGTCATTCTATTCATCGTCATGAATGTAATATATTCTTTTGTTTCTTAAAAATGAAAATGCATCATCACATTATGATTAGGGGTGGCAACCGGTCTACTCATTTAGGTCTATCCTGTTATTCTGTAAAAACTAGCAAGAAATATAGGCAGGGTAGAGCTAGGTCTATCCTGTTATTCTGTAAAAACTAGCAAGAAATATAGGCAGGGTAGAGCGGACATTAGGTAGGGTGTGAGTTTAAAATTTTGGTCTAATTCATAAAAAAATGAGGTTGGGGCAGATACGCGAACACTACTTTTTTTAATTTAAAATTATAATTTTTTTTTTCAATGTCTAAGTCTGCAAAAAGTGAGATGAAATGAGCATATTAGAGTGTTTGGGATATGCAAACACTACATTTTTTTAGTTTAAAATTATAAATTTTTTGTCAATGCCTAAGTCTGCAAATATATTAGAGTGTTTGACATAATTCAAAAAATTGGGAGGAGACGAACACATTAGAGTATTTGGAATAAAACCTTGGTTCCTGTGGAAAAAATAGAGTATTTGGAATAGGGAAAAGATATTTTTACACCAACTTTGCACACTACACCGTAAGAACATACATATAATATACTAATTTCATTATTTTAATAATTTATTCAACTTTGATTTCCGTGCAAAATATTTTGCTGTGTTAATTTATACGGTGTAGAATACTGGTGTATAAAAACCAGTGTCAAAATAGCAAAGCTGTTTGGAATAAAACCTTGGTTCCTGTGGAAAAAAGTGCAGGCTGCACCAAGGGATCAAATCTGTTTTGCCATCCCCTATTAAAAAAGAAATTACTTGAAAAAAATTATGTTTTTTATTTATTTTAATTTTAAGAATAAACAATGTATCTAGAAACATTTAATATTAAAAGAAAAATACTTTTTGTTTTAATTTTAAGAATAAACAATGTATTTAGAAATATTTAATACTAACAATTGATTTTTTTAATATATGGCATGACCATTTTTGAGCTTATAGTTTATAATTTATAATCTCACATGATAATAAAAGACCTGTTTGGTAACCGTTATTTCATTTCGAGTTTATAACTTATTTTATTAGTTTATTTTTTAGATGCTATTTTAAATAGCATTTTAGCTTATAATTTATCATTTTTCTTTCATTTTTGTCTTTATTATTTTAACTAAAATCAACTATTATCCTTTAAAATTTATTTTAATTTAAATAAATTAATTATATATTAAATGATTTTAAAATCATTTTAATTTATAACTAATTAAACCGTTAATTTTACCAAACATTTCAATTAACTTATCAGTTATAAATCATCATCTATCAACTATAAATTATAAATATCAGTCATCTGTTATAAGTTATAAACTATCAACTAACTTATCAATCAATCACTATTTTTATCAAACACAACTATAGAGTAACTATGTACGAACAATATATACACCATATTTTTTTTTTCCGATAACGGTGACTTATCCAAGCCATTTCATTATTTTTTTCTCCCCTGGCCCTTTTATGATAAATCCACAAAGCAATTGTAATATGTAGCTTAAAATGTTTCAAATTGAATAAGCTTTGATAAGTCTCTAGGCCTAGCGTTGGAAATGTATAGCTACACATGCAGATGAAATACACGTTTATCTATTTATACTTTTTTTCTTGCGGGAATATTAATTAGCAGAAATTTCAAGCCCTATATTTCAGGCACATATTTTTCCCAATATCATTAAATACAAGATCTGATCAAGAAATCTTGAGTATAGATACATAATTGATGGTTGCTTCAATTTGAAATCAACTTGTTGATGGGATGAACTCTTACATAAATTATCATGTGAACCAAGCCTATAGACATGTGGATTCGAACCTCATTTTCATCAATACTTGTATTCCTCATATTTATATATAACTCATTTGGTCTGGTCTGGTACTTGAGGATCAATCTCAGCATAGTTAGCCAATCAGTTTGTTGAAATAGCAATGCACAAAATCTAGATATATAGAGATACATAGACAAAACCTACATTACTCTATATTTTGTATTAATAAAGAGAGCACATGTACTATACCTAACTACTCCATAAATGTCCTTTTGTGAAATTAAAACATGTATTTTATACTCTTCTTTATCGTGCGTGACAAACCAAACACTTTGTCTGAATATTCTAATACAAATAACTGCCCTGATTTAATAATTCTGGGAGACTTGTTTCTTTCTAAAGTATCAAATCAACAAAAGTTTAGATCAGCCGTTTTTTAAAATTTTATATACAAGTACCTAATATTTTGAATATCCTATGTCAAAACTAAGATAACGAAATATATTCTTAGCCATACCTAAGTATTTTGCCTCAATATTACTTGTCAAACTTTATATATATATATATATATATATATATATATATATATATATATATATATATATATATATATATATATATACTCTCTAAAAAAAAAGGTTAAATATTTCCGTGACATACAACTTTTAATAATCAATTTTTTCATAACAATTTTGCAACTATAATTCTCTAATAAACCAAAAGAAATAAGGATTTTTGCAAAATTTGCAACTATAATTCTCTAATAAACCAAATGAAATAAGGATTTTTGCAAATATGGAACATGTCTTACATCCATCAAGTTCTTACTTTTCTATCATGAATCTCGAATTATACCGTACCACACCCCATAATTTTAGAGGCATGGTTGTTTTCCATTAAAACAATTCCACCATTTTTAGTTTGTAGATAGTGAACCATATGGTATGCAGATCATAAATAAAATATCCATTTTTTTTGTTGGAAATATCAGGATCTTGCTATGATTTAACATTCATCCTCACCATTCTACCTCATGTGTAAATCTTGTTGTTTTCCATTGGAGTTATTACCATTATTGATCTTCTTCTTTAAAAATATCATTTTTTTTAGAAATCCCATAATAAAAAATCTTCAACTCCCAACTCCAAACCTTCAAAATCGTCCTCCAAAGTGATGAAAACATATATCCTATTTTAGAATCAAAATGTTAGAACAAAATTGAAACTCTGAAACCCTTATCTTTCTTATCTTTAAATAGAAGTTGATAATGAGCGTTTAAGATTGAGTGAATAAAAAAATATTTCAATTTAAAAATTTAGAATGATAACAAAATCATAATTTTATTCACTATATTTTGTCCTTTTACAGCTCAAATTATTCTTTGACTTCATGAAAGTTATATCCTAGGATACTAACTTTCATTTTCGGTTATTTTCACCTTAATATAAATTACGAAACATTAGATATGTTAAAAATACCACAATTGATAAAAAGCTATATTGTACAAATGCGCAACATTTTTCTATTTTCTCTTACATGGACTATGTCAATTTTCCGGTAACACTCTGCATTCATGTACATGGCACGACACATTTTATTGAGTAACACGTAATGTTGATTTCTTCATAAAAGCATGATACACCTTATATCTTTTGAGTCACGCCTGATAGCATTTTTTCCAATTTTAAAATATATTTTCTTCAATTTTGTGTGGCAGAATCACTCTATTTCTTGTCGTTATAACTTCTCCCTTGGAAACATAATAAAATTGGTCTAGTTAGAGCTGATTTGATTTGAATCGGTCTTTTCCACAATACTTTAACTCATGTTGTGCATCCCAAACCACGATCTTTGGGAATATTCGGAACCTTGACCGATGAGATTATTTTAATCTATCTAAAGTCTTTTCAATCGACATATTTTGTTTGTTCCACCTGTAAGACTAAAGTCAAGTGGAATCTCCATATTTGTTACAATGAACTAATATAAGCATATCACACGTCTCACAAAAATTTAGTGAAAATTTATCTAAAGGGGTCTAATCAAACAAAATTGGCCAATCACTCTTATGACATTCATGGCAAAACAAATAAAAAGATAGTTAAAAAATATTAAAGGAATGAAACCCCCTAACGAAAAATCTTCAACTCCCAACTCCAAGCT